TTTTTTTTTTTTTGCGGGAAAGCGTCGTGCGAAACGGAGGGACAATGACTAAAGCGATCAGAGTGGGTGAAAATTTTTCCTTCCATGCCTGTTTACTAGCGGTCATTTTGCCACGATCGTACAAGTATTCCACGAGACGGACGACCAGAAACGACATAACAAATGTAGAAACGATAGATAGTACGAAGTTGGAAAATAATCATGGCTAACTATGGACGAGTGTTCCTTGAAAACGAACGACTGATTCAGCTGATTCAGTTGCTCGTTCGAACGCATAAATACGAATAAGTAAACGTGTGTGTGTGTGTTTTACATTTCGCAGGTCTTGATAGTGTTACTCTTGTCCGTAATCCCCTGGCCAGGACCCAGCGTCTTTAAAATATCATGCCCCCGCGATCGAGCGTCCGTGGTGAGGAGGATAGTGCAGAAGGTAAAGAAGATGTACAATGTTCGAGATTTCCGCGATCCGTTCATGGCGGATCACCGAGGCAAGTCCCTCAACTTTCTCGGAGGTTTCAGAGATGGATGCCAATCCTGAAGAAGCATCAAGTAGAGCTGCCGCTGGAGTGTCCGTTCCACGAAAGTCGAGACATTTTTCGGCCCCAGCAAAGGGCGAAACATCAGCACAGGCCGTCACAGTGGACTTGCGGCCTGTGCGGCAAGTCTTTCTATGCAGAGAAACACTTGGATGCTCATTTCGATAACAGACACAAGAGTAACGTTAACACGGTATATATTTTTCTCTTTCCGATACGCTAGAATAAGTATTTCACCTAAATTATAATTGTATAGTGTAAATTATGTATTTTTATTGACCTGTATAACTGCGCATGAAACTGAAAGTGTCATAAATTTAGAAAAATCCATTAGTATAATTGCTGGTTTATGATATCTATATCTATTATCATTACGGTAAAAAGAAAAAGCACTTATATGCGATAAGCAGCAATAACGCACATTAATGTCTCGACTACATTTACTACATTACAACTTCGTTCATTTTGTACGACAATTCTCCTGGTACGGGAAATCGTAAATAACTCGAGAAAACCAATGAAACCAAATGTTGCCAAATGGTGTCAATTAATGAATGAAATTGTTTGGAGGCCAGGCGGAGGACGCGGTGTGCCTCGCGGATTACTGCGACATCATGAGGTGCGACGTGCTTGGTAACCGGGACTTCGAAAGCTCTCTGGTGGACGACGAGGCTGGCCACCACAGCACAGACATACAAGTCTGGAAAGAAAGCACGGAGCAACGTTCCACTTCTGTGATGCCTTGTCAGTCGCGAGGCAGCTTCTCGAGGACGTATTCGGTAGAGAAAGCCTGCACTATAGCCGGTGGCGGTGCTGTCACCAACATTCAGCAATACTGTCATCGAGAGGACAGCGGCGCTTTAGAGAATCATCGTCTGCCAGGGACGGCGTATCACGTGGAAATCGTTGGCCCTGATAACAAGAGCAACGCCTGCGACAATGACGAGGAGGACGAGGACGAAGAAGACGACGAAGACGATGAGGAGAACCTTGTGGAAGCGGCATTGCCAGCCGTCGATAAGAAGAGGCGTAAGGGGTTGCATCTGAGGAAGCTGAAGGCCAACTGCAAGCCAGAGGAGCTGCAAAAGCTGAAGTTGCAGTGTGAAGTTAGTTGATTGTAGCAGGAAGATGTTTGATCAAGTAAAAGATTTTAATGAGGTTTTAACGAGGAACGATCTGATCTCTATCTCTCGGAGAGTCTCGAGAACATCTCGATGAAAATTTGATAAGATCTAGGAATATGAATCGTCGAGCGATATGAATAAGTGGACGACCTTTTCTATCCGAGGATGACTGCTCGTCAGATATCATCCTTCTCGTGGTCATTTGTTTTTTAGTCTTCTATGGAACTCGAGGATTACAGATCCGGGTTTCAGAATGTAAGATTATCGCGCAGGTAGCAGATGTCAGGTAGCTTGTATTGTCTTTGCGCAAAGCTGTAGCCTTTGTGAATCGCTTTGGTTGATTTATTGAATATCTCTACAAATAATCTTGTCGTAAATTGCCTTTCTCTGTAGTATGCTCGAGAAAAACTTAACCATTCGCTGGGCTAATTTGTGTAACGTAAAACGAACAATCGCATTTACAAGGATCTCGTAAGCTTCCTTCACACCCAAATAAAAATATCGCTATTAACACAATCTTCGGTATAATTTGTAGACTAACAGCACGGTTGGTAAAGAAATGAAAAACAATTTAGTAGTAAATTGTCATATAGGGTGTAATAGCTCGTATCATAAATAACAAGATAATCATTCATGTTGCCAAAATATTATCGTTTGAATAACATCAACAGGTATTAATCCGCGATTGTATCGCTGGACTTTTGACGAATCTTTCGGTACGAGATTTCCAGGAGATCGAAGGTAAGCAGATTCGATCGATTAGTTTTATCTATAGAGATTGTATTGCACGAGCGCCTCTTTCCAGGAGAATTGAATCGTGCGATATGTTGGTACCTCAGCTGCGACAGATATTGGGAAGACACGAAAAGGCAACAAAGGCACACACCCTGGTACCTGTTAACCATATTTCTGATAGTTCTGTTCTCGTCGATTTACGCGTGCTACTACATTATTTGGGTGCTGTTCAAGTACGTACGTTGGATCATATTTATTCATATCATAATGTTGTTTCGCAGTTTATCATCGACTTTTATTTACTCGAGTAACATGCGATAAAAGAATTTATCAGCGCGACGACTGTCGTCACATATGCAGCCGCGCATGTGTGATTAAAGACGGGATACCATGTAACGGAAATATTCTAAATAACTGCTACAATAATGATTCGCCTATTCTTTTCACGCGCAATATCGTTTACTTATCGAAAATACTTCAAAAAATCGGACTTTTCAACAACTTTGACATTTGAATAAGTTAAAGATATCTTGAAAAGTACCAACGAATAGCTTAGATAAAAGTGATCGAAGATTTGCCGAGCAAACTGATTACTATGTGAAAAAGAAAAATACGCCTCGAACACGTTAATGTCAAATTTTAATTTTAAATATCGTCACTTTTGTTCGAAGTTCGTTCGTCTTATTTAAATGAAACATAATTTTCCTTCTAATTAGTATTACAATGATTCACCTGACTTGCGTTTTTGCAGTTCAGCAGAAGAAGACAGGCTAGACGGAACCGGAAGCTTAGATTACACGGATGGAGAGCTCACGGCTACGTCCTCGTTACACGATCAGAGTGGTCCTGGCGAAGGTAGATCCAGCGGAAGAAGAAAAGGTGAGCCAGGGGACGATAATTTGCCTTCGAACGAAGAAATGCCCGACCATTACATATATGTAACCTATCCGCCAGAGCTAAAGCAGCGATTACTGGACAGGTAAATAAGATGAGAAAGGACGAGACTATTTTATGGAACATTGATATCGAAATCGTACAGTGATCCTCCTGGTTGCAGCTGCTACAACAGAACCACCCGACTTTAAAGTCGAAGAGATAGGAGAAGGTTGGACAAAGATTCGATCGAAAACACGAGATACAGCTCGCCTGATTCCACGAGTCAGTTCCATGGCTGGCCACCACCTTCTTCCTTATTTTTCCTCCACCTTTAATCTTCGTGTTTTGTATACCAGATGTGGGAATAAATTGCAAGATGTACACGAGAAAAAAAATTCGTTGTTAATATCACTGTTCGCGTCCTTTGCATTTCGTCTCGCCCGATTTTCTACTTAAGGTAAGACCGACACTTGAGATAAGCTCAAGGAACCCACTCGACCGCGATTATTAAAATCGATTATTCAGATTGAATGTTTCATCGAATCGCCACCAATTCATTTGAATATGAGCTTTTTCTTAAGATATGTTACGCAAGGGAGCTTGTATAAAAGCGATTGGTTCACGTGTAAAAAGGAAAATACACGACGAAACCCTAACAGGCAATGATACCTCCCTGGGTAAGTAGTTTCGTCAGTAGTAATTTTATTTTGAAACTCAAAGCTCGATTCAATTTCTAAAACCAATAAGTCATCTTAATCGATCCATCAGAATCTCGCTGCGTGTCCATCACGCTGGACTGTCGAACCAACCGACGCACGCTCGCATTGCTCGGTCTTTGTTGATCCTCCAGCAGCCTCTGAGGAATCGGTACCTCGGGGACTTCGTGCATCTCCACGGTCTCTCTGATCGACAAATCTTCGTAAGATGCTGCGGCCGACGATGGTCTAAAATCAGCCAGAAAAAAAAAAAAAAACCACTTGTCAATAGATACAATGTAAGAAAGATACAGTGTTTGTGTGTTTTAATCGGCAGACTCGTACTTGATCGGGATGCAACGAAAGCAGTCAGCACATGTCCAATCCTTCCCAAACAATTCTCCTTCCTCCACGGTCTGGGGTAATCGATGATGCAGTGTCTCGGGCAAACGTAGGCCAGACAATCCGCCGATTACAGACACCACGCCGAGAATCACGAGGGGCAGCACCAAGTTCTCCTTGCCCTGCGCGAAATGACGTAAATGCTTGGAAGATTCGTCTGGCTACAGACGAACGATAAACATATTCACGATAACTTACAAGATATGTAACAAAAGGAATGATTATAAGACCGAGACCGCTGATGTAGGCTGAGAAACCGATCGCTACGCCGCGTAACTGCGTGGGGTAAAGTTCGCCGGCAAACGGATATATAATTAGAAAAGAGGCCGATATCGCGGATTTTGATAAGAGGAATAGAATTAGCGTAGCCATAACTGCGTCTGTTGAAAAGAAAAAAGAAACGGAACCATTGAAATTTAAAAATTGCATTTTCTTTTTTTTTCTTTTTTTTTTTTTTTCTTTGTTGTCATTGCACGATTTTCACGCGGAGAAATTTCTTCTCCGGTAGCCATTTCTTTTATTAGTGTGATTTAGTACCGGGTGACAAAAGAACCGTGGCGATGCACGACACGCCAGCCAGTACCATGGATAAGCAAAGAGGCCAGCGACGACCCCATCGATCCATCACCACCCAACAGGCCATGTAACTTGGAATCTCAGCCAGCGACGAGAAGAAAAAACTCAAGTGTTCCTCGTTACCCAATGCTGGTCCGTAGTACGATAATCCAACGTACACCATGTTGTTGGCAAACCTAGGAAGAAAAGATAAAAATTCAGACTGATTTATTTCGTCGTTATCAGTATCATGTGCACACGCTCGATAACAAACAACGTTCAGTGAAAACGAAAACATTGCGAGACGTATTTTGTCGATTTGAAGATTCGCCGATTCATCGGGCACTATTTCTATTTACCAATTCAGAGTGATCAGACTCGTCTTCAGACGCATGTTCGGTGTTTTGAAGAGAGATAATACACCGGGCCCGCTGCGTAATCTCTCCTCTTCACTTTTCGACCGTGACATCATCATTCGTTGGCGAAGTTTCTGCGTGAAAGAGATCGGTAACTCTTTCCCGTTTACTTTGGCCAATCGTTCCAGGATGTCGTTCGCTTCGCCTAAGCGACCCTTCGCCAGTAACCATCTCGGTGACTCCGGCAGGAACCTGGAATCACCTCAGATTTCCGCTTTATTACGGCGGAATACGCGGAAAGAGTGGCAGAGTGGTAAGCAATCACTCACCACCAGTAGAGGATATACAAAAGGAAAGGTGCACTCGTAGTTAGAGCAAGCGTTCTCCAATCTCTTATCAAATAGGTCACACCAGCCAACATACACAATCCCATTGTGTAAAAGCTGCACGTCATCACCGTCACGAATGATCGATAATTTGGTCCAACCAGTTCCAGAGCTGTTTGCAGGGAATTCGGAAGAAATTAGTATTTCATTCATTGAATGAAACAATGTTTCACGTATCGTTATCACACGCTCCGGATTATGTTCCTTTGAGGCAGTCTTACATATGATGAATGGTATTTGGTAAATGGCAGGAATGGTCAAACCGACGACCATTCTGGTAGCAGCCCAGGTCCAAAAGCTGTTCGACATCGATGTTAAAAATCCACCGGTTATCAAAGTCGCCAGGCACGTGAAAAAGGATAGTCTTCTACCGATTCTACGTGATGTAACAGAAACAAATGAATCAATCTGCATCTACGTTTTCAAAACTATTGTTCGTTACCTGTCGTTTAATGTACCGAAGAGATACACCCCGATCGGTCCTCCAGTGTTCAAAGCCACCAAGCCGATCGTCGGGTAAATCGCGTGATCGCACACGAGGTCGAACTGTAACGTATGAATAGCAATTAATTACAAAGCTAAATGATCGCCGTTAACGAAACATGGGAAGGTGAACGTACGTCGATAACGATGGAAGATTTCACTTCTGTAGTTTCATACTCCCAACCATAATCGCATGGAACAATGGGCCACGATGTATTTGGCACGTACGAGGCTGTCGTCACGACAGAAACGTTTTCCGCTGTCCAATCGATATCGTATCGTGTGCACTGACTGTACGTTTCATTGTCGTCCTAATTATGAAAGCGATTGTTACAATACTGCGAACAAATAGCGTGCAGCTATTGAGGTAAGCGTTGATTTGTACTCTATTAGGGGTAAATGGCGTCTTCTCTACATTATCAAGGTGGAAAATCTTCTTGGAAATACGAGAAATAAAGTATGCATGGAAAACAGCAAAGATTACTATGATAAGCCGATCCTAAGTCTCTTCGACTGCCCAACTTACTAATAACAGCAGCGATTAAAATTTACAGTGTAAATATTCTTACAATATTCAGGATATAAGATACGATAGACTTTTTATCATTACTTTCGTCGGAAGCTAATGGCAGAACTTATGGCTGTTGAATAATTCGGAAATGGAAAGAATTGATGCGTTCGACGAGCAACGAGTTAATTTTACTATAAATAGCTTGAGAAAAGAAATCCTTTAGCGGCCTAACAAAAATAAGCGTGGCGACAATTGCACCTGACTGATAGGAATCGCGAGTTTCCTTCTGCGGAACACATCGAGGTTCTCCAGCCCCGGTACTTTGCACCAGTGGGGTGGCGTGTCGGCCATGAAGAGCTGATTGAAGGCGCAAAACCCACACGGAAGACACGCCGGGAGACACACAAGCCAGAGAAGTTGCTTTTGATAACGGCCGAATTCGCCGACGATCGGTAAAAGATCATCGAGATCGAAGCCATCCTACGAAACTCACGTCTCTTAATCCCGATGAAAATCTTCTTCGACAATCGATCAAAACGCGTTATCCGATTATACACACACACATATATATATATCATAAACATTTCTATTACAAGATGACAAGTAAGAAACGTTTGAACGAATCACGTAGTGGTCAAGAAAGTTTTACCGATTAGATAAAAACGTTAAAAACAAAGTATTCGAGTATCGATGAAAATTGTTATTGCGAAGCAACGATCTTGCAAAAGATATAATTACTTACTTCGTCATCCGCGTTTTCCGTCGTCGTCTTGGCGTCCGGTGATCCTGAGGTTTGATTTTCATCCAGGTGCTCCATTCTCGTGAACTTTGCCCGCGCTCAGGCTACCGAAACGTCACCGATACCTTAGAAACGCGTTACGTGACGTGTATTAACTCCGTCCCGATGGCAATGCAACCGACGTGCCATTTGTTCCATCTTGCTACGTCTTTTTCTCTTTCACCGTCGCGCGATCATGACACGGCGGGTCGTCCCTCCGAGGTCGTCACGAACCGGAGACAAAAGTATTTAGATAGCGCGTGCCAGCTCTTGCAGTAGATCTAGCGAGTTTCTGGTAGGAGGCCAACCCAAAAGCAATTGGATGAATTAGAAAGTTTGATCGGTCACTGTCGATCAATCCACTGCTCGCTCAACATCTTTCAAATACCGTTGCTACTCGACAACTATTATTCTTCCATTTTTAAGGAAACATCACTTATCAAACGTCTCATCGTGTTCAAATGGAAAGGACACAAAGCAAATGAATGAAATGAAGTCGAAGAGTTACGTGTGTATGTGTATGGTAATTAGCGTATATGCAGAAAATCAATCCATATTAATGGCACGTGCTAGTACGTAGTATGTATATCGTTTTGTCGATAAAGGAAAATAATGCGCCACGTCCCTGGAGTTACTCCGGAATTTTTACGACGAGTACACCGATATTGTTCATCTCTCGGATATGAGCAGTACATCAAGCTCGAGCCACTGGCTTCTCTTTGTTCGCTCGCAGGTGAAAAAGAGAAACGTGAGAGACGTGAAAAAAAAAAAGAAGAAGAGAGAATAGAACTCGTACACGCACTCGCGTTTCACGCGCACGAAAAACAGCAAATGCAGACGACACCGACTTCAGAGGCGCGTGTCACGGGGTGTGCCCTTCTAATTCAATTGGGTTAAGGGTACTTAGAGAAGATTAGGAACAATGCTGACACATGCTGCGTGGTGGCCGAGTTTCATTCTTCGAACACAACGCGTGACTTCTCGCGTTATTTCCCAATTCTTCTCTATTCATTATTCCTCGGCCAAGTTCTATTAAATTATTTTCAACTTCTCACCGCTCGTCAAATATGACAACTTCCTCGCGTATTTACACTTTCCGTGTAAACTACGTGATGTTTACTCGCGTAATGAACTTCATGTATTTCTCATTTCATTAAACCGATCCTGATTTACTGCAAATGTTAAATATCAATAGCGTCGTTGAAATACGTTCTCGATATTTTTATGCAATAGAAAAGACCACTGCTGAATTCTTGGGTATCACGAGACCATACGGCTTCGTTTCGAATCCGCGGTAATCCAATTGATGAAGTAAAAGACCGTAAGAAATACACAGGCAATTGTTCGTGTTTTCAATCTGTACATTTCGAGCCTCGGCCGACCGATAAATTTTCCGCGTTTTCATTATGAGATTATTCTTGACGACGATATCGGAAACGATAGGTCAAGGTGCGTGATTATAGAGAGGAAAAAAAAAAAAAAAAAAAAACGGAGTAAGAAAAGCTTGATGCTGGAGCGACGACTGGTAATAATGGCATCACTACGTGTGTACAGATTCAAAATGAATTTTTATTTTGGACAATCTCGTTTTGTCAAACGCTTAAAAAAAAAAAAAAAAAAAAAAGAAAAGAAAAAAGAAGAAATTTCAAATGTGAAAACACATGTGGAAGCAATTCGCATTTCGGTGGTCGAATTTTGCGGGATGAAACGATCTCGCTTTCTTCTCGATACAAGATTTTTTTTTTTTTCATATAAGAGGCATATAGAACGCAACTGTATTTTCGTTTTCTCATTACTC